GATGTTTCACATGTCCTTGCTTCAGTAGCCAGCACCTCCATAAGGAGGGGGCTGTGGTGATTCCTCCTGCTGATTTACCTTGCTGTGTGGCACCAGTAGCCACATGAGATACTCGCTCTCTCCTTCAAATTTCTGCAGCCAGGTCCAAGTTTTCCAGCATACACATAGAATCCTTTGGATCCCACATCCTCCTTGCAGGTGTAGTCCCATTTTCATGACCCTCTATGTGTTAAATGTGCTTGAAGGAAGCAAGATGCATGTGTCTATCTATTTATGTTTGAAAATCACAGGGGAATTTCTATTAGTCTAAAAGAAAGCTTGTGGAATTTAAAATGATCTGCTCTTTTCAGTATTAAACAAGGTGAGATAGCTGAATCTGGTACTAACCAGAGTTACTCTGTGTTTAGAAGGACCGCACTTGCCTCCATTATGCTGTGAGAAAACGGTTCACCTTCCTGGACTATGTGCTCATCATAATCCTCATGCCAGTTATGCTTATTGGATACCTTCTCATGGTGAGTCTGGATGGAAGCAAGAATGACCCTGGATCTTTCCCATGATTCTTCATGGCAGTGTTTCAGGCCAGGAACTTCTGTAGAATATGGACTGCTTCCTTAAAGCAAGACTGAATGTCTTGCTTCTTAAAGCAGAAGGAGCAGGAATTTTGCTGTGACTGTAGCTGGTGAAGGAACAGATTTGTATTACTGTATCAGTCTGACATTTCCATGCCTATTTTTGGGAAAAGCACCACAGTATATTATATATATTAAGTATATTTAGCACAAATATACTTAAGACTATATGCAATGAACTGTTTTACTGTGTTACTCCTTTCCTTGCTCTAAACAGGTCTCAAAGACAAAACAGAATGAACACCTGGTCAAGATGTTGCTTAGAGCTGGAGTCGATGTGAATGCTACAGACTCTGTAAGTGGGTTTATACAAATGCAAGTGTGGCTCACATGCAGGAAACAATACTAAAAACAGACTACAGAATCTTCTAGCAGCATTGTTAGAGTAGGAGCATCAGGGACTGAATTTACCAGAAGGATTCAATGTTTCTCCTTGACACTTAGGCAATAGATTATTGTGTATGCAGAAATAGTTCCCCACTGATCAACTAATCCACCCTTTCTGAACAATGCCTTCAATAAGAGAATCCAGCAAGCTGGGCTGACGTACTTGTGTATTAAATACCCAATTCTGTAGATATTCTAGTGATATAAGCATCTGAGTTTATCAGCATTTACGAGGTTTTGAACTGGAACAGATTTGTGGGCTACAGGACAAGACCCCGTGTCTTCTCTTGGTCTTCAGAGTGTGCTATCTGCCATAATACAGAGTTATGAATCCACTAGCCCACTTGGGTGAGGTAAAGAGCTCCTCTCCTCTAAGGCAGAAAAGGAGAAACACCAATTTAATCAGCAACAAAATTCTAGAACACTGAAGTGCAAGCAAACAGTATCATTTAAGATGTAGTTTCTGGGATCAAGCTGGTGTGATCCTCTGAAATGATTGGCTTCCTGCTAATGTATCAAACCTGCTTTAGCAGTTGCATTCCAGGGAAGGAATTAATTTTTTTGTTCCTGTTTTTCTCATGGTAACATTATTTGTTTTACTGCGGGATATATTGTGACAGGAAATGGTATGTGTGTTTTGCATAGGTAGTCCTGCTTACCTAAGGCCTACTAAAGAAGTTTCAGAAATAAAATTAATCTGCTTATGTTCCCCTTCAGTCTGGCAGCACAGCCCTTCACTATGCTTGTGAAATGAAAAACCAGGCAGTCATTCCTCTACTGCTTGAGGCTCATGCAGACACTTCTGTAAAGAATCAGGTAAGAAGGCGAGGTTGATAAATGTATTTACTTATCATGGTGGTCGACCAGTAATTTCATTGTAGGCCTTAGCTGGTGCAGAGCAGTTTTAAGAAAAGGGTGCACAGCTTCCTGGAAGCCAATTTGTTTCCTGTTTGATACGAAACATTTGCTCCATTGCCTTTATTGACAAGACCAATTTTAAAGTATGAATCCTTCCCTGCTGGATTTCTATCAGTAAAAGCTGCCTGCATGTCCCCTGGCTTAGCACATCTCTTAGCTATATTTATGTTACCTCTTAGCTCAGAGCTACTCTGTAGTTGCTCTTAAGATGAGGGCTGCAGGGCAGGGATAAAAGTCTTCCTAGGTGGTTTTTGTGTTGCTGAGCACCCTTCTGAAAGGCTAAGTCAAGCTGCTTCTGTCACCAGAGCAGCTCAAGTGTTGCCCAAATCAATACTGACCTGGGAGTATCTGCACTACTGAGTTGAGGTGAGAAGTGTATTACCTATATTGCTCTTGAAACCAAATCTTAGCTGAGCTCTGTACATTTGGATGTTACTCCCAGGAAACAGTGGAAAGGCTTTCCCTGTTGCAGGGGAGGTCTCTGTTCCTTTCTTCAGCCAGAGCAGTATTAGGCCTAGCATGTCCTGAAACCTTTATTTTGGAGCAGAAGTGACAGGGCACCTTACACAGGTGACAAAATTGGGAAATCTCTTTGTATTTGACCCATATCAATCATATTACAATGTATTTCATGTGTTTCTTTCAGGATGGGGAGACTCCCTTGGATATAGCAAGAAGATTACAGTTCCACAACATTGAAAGCATGATAAGAAAAGATTCTTAGCCATCAAGGTCTCTCAAACATGAAGAAAATTACCTCATCTGACAATCCACCTTTCACAACAGCAGAAGTCTGGCAGAGGATGAGGTCTGATACTTGTTAAAGACCCAGACCATACCCACCCATTCCCTGCTGCAGACTTGGACAATTTTCTGTGAGATTTGTCAGTACCCCAAGGCCATGACTGGGCTGAAAGAAGTTAATTTTATTTTCTAAACCATTAATTACTTCAATAGTGTTCAAAATATTGCCCTTCCCATCTGTTTCATCAATTTTATTACTTGACTTCTGCAGACTGTGGATTTTGAAAGCTAGCTATAAAATATCTAGAAGCCTAAACATTGCATATGATGGTTGGCAGCCAATGCAAAAATAAAATATCCTTTAGAGTGTGTGTTACTTGTTCCATAGGGGAACTAAACAATATGCTAGAGCAGTTATAAAAGGTCTGGTACCCTTCTTCTTAGTATTTCTCTTCCTACAATGGGAGGGGCTGGGAAAATAGATCTCTCAGTTGAGCCTCTTCTCCTTCCATCCTTCCAACAATTTTCACACACCTTAATTCTCACTGTGTTGCTACAAGAGTAGAACTATCTTTGTTTTTTTGTTTTGTTGGTTTTTTGTTTTGTTGGGTTTTTTTGTTTCCCATCTAGAAACAGCAAAAAGATATTCAAGGCCTTGCTGGAGACCATAAAGTAAGTCAATTTCCAGACCACTTTAATGCATTAAGAAATAGTAAAGAAAATGTGTTTGGCTCAGCAGAGAAACAGGTCTCTTGACTACTTTTCCAATATAAACAGTGTACTAAAGTAAAAAAAGAGTCAATAAATGAAATGCTGTTGATGGAAACCAGATGTATCATTCCCCTGGGACTAGACAGGATAGCATGCTGTAGAGTGGTGCATGCAACAGGGGATAATACCAATCATAATAATAATATATCCATGAGTTTTCTCTTGCATAGGTGAAGGCAGAAGAAAACCTGCAGTGATAAGCAATGTATGAAAGTGACCCAGTGCTTTGTGATTTAATAATGCAGCAGTAAAAGGGAAACTCCTTTTATACACTGCTGTGTTGTGCCTCCTTGGTCTATTGGATCTTTATGTCTGTTGATAATTTTGGCCTTTTCCTGTAAGCTGTCAAAAGCTTATGCAAATGCAGTGCAGCATTGCTAATGGATGCCACAGTAGGTGCATGGACAAGCTAGTGCACTTTTCCTGTGTTTTTCAGTGTAACTGTTGCATTGGATGTCAACTCCAACTACAAAGGGTCTTGGCTGGACAAGATGAGCTTGAAGCTGCAGCCAGGAAGACCCCATGAAACAAAGCTCCTTGCTGGAGCCTGTAATAATGAGCATTTTGTGTGCAGTCTGGGGACAGACTCCAGATCAGCTTGTAGGTGAGAAGAGGGGAGGCACTTGCTGTGGATTATGAGGACACCATCTCTTATGGCAGAGGGCTGGAAAGGGAAAACATCCAACTGCTTTCCCATGTTTTAGGAACTGCTTGAATGAAGAATGGCTCAGACACAGAGCTGTGTAAAAGTGAATGCTGACAGCTCAGAGTGCTTGCAACAGCTTCATTGCCTGTGTGAAGAATAATTCATAGGGTGGAAGCTGTATTGCCTGGGGTGCACCTTCCTGGATCGGTCTGCATCTCCTTATTCCACAGGTGCCATCCGTGGTCTTTGAAACTGTGAGGGGTTCAGGGTGTGTGAACAAACATTTGGGTGATTTGTAGGCATGGAGGGCAAAGGAATACTTCTATGATTTTTTTTTTGAGGTTGGATTCCTTGATGTTTTGTAGTCATCTATTATCTGCTCAGTTTCTTGTGTTTGAATATCTCTTGGTTCTGTTGACATTAAAGGGTTATTTGAGGAGGGAAAATAGAAGACTGCTTCTCTGTCAAGGGTTGCAATAATTTAATTTAAACAAAATTGTTCATTTCAACAGAGAAATGATCAAATCACACTTTTGGATCTCCATAGGAAGACAAAAATTGGGTATGAGAATGCCTCAGTTGGGTAAGATCTATCTGAGAACAACAATGAATTCAGGTGTAGGAAAATTAGTCTTGTAAAAATAAAGACTGCTGAAATTCAGTGATCCCTGCAGTATGTACTCAAATATATTCATGTTTTCAGCTTTCATTCTTAAATACCTCAGACCTCTCAGAAAGACAGCAGTCACAGTAACGCCATGGAAAAGCTCAAATTATGAGGAAAGCAATAAATAAATAAGAACAAATAAATACCTATAGATGTATCCATTATGTGTGCCTGTGTGTTTACCTCTTCCCCTGATACCCTTATTGCCAAATAGAAGTTTTGGAGGTTTTTACAATCAACACTCTTCTCATGGTTTCATTAATATTTTCTTATTAATTCAGTGATTTTCAGATACATTTTCTCAGTTGCATCAAGGCCCCAGATAAAATCGAGATGTCCCCAAGTAGGAAAATGCTCATGGTAAATGAGATTAGTAATCCGAGGAAGTAGCCTTGCCATGTCTTTTGGATCTGCAAATGTGTCCTGCCCACCACTCCAAACAGCAGTTGGTGTCTTTATCTCCTCAATCTTGTACACAGGAGGAGCAGTCTGTAAGAGAGGGAGGAGACCTGAGTGAATGCTGCTGCTGTATCAAAGCTGTGTTTAGAGAAAGGTTTCTGAGGAAGCACCTCTCTTTGTCTTTTGCTTCTGCACTGTCTACAGTAAAACCCATAAGGATGAAGGCCACCCTCTTATTGTTCATTGCCCTAACCCCATTCCCTGTCTATGGAATGACCCATCCTATTCCTGTTCTTTCTATAAAGCATGGATAAGGGTTGTCTCGCAGCTGGGCCCTGTCTTGTGCTCTTCAGAGGTGTGGGCATGGAAAGAACAGAGTAAGTATTCATCAGTCAAGGACTGTGGAGATTTTTCCTGTGTGTATTCAGGGTGAGGAGATCTATAAGTTTTTTGGGATGCACAGAGTGCAGCTTTTGGTCTTAGTTTTCATGCTTGGAACTGAAGCGGGACAGAAATAATTTAGTTGTTTATGATTTCAAATAGAAAATTGCTGAGTGTGTGAGATAAAAGTGACTGATTGTAGCTCTGGTGCCTTTCTGTTTTTGGAAAACAACATTTTGGTAGAGCACAGAACACTGCAAGTCCAATGTGCTGGTCAAAAGTGAAATGATTGCCAGTCTACTGGAGGGGTCACTGTAGCTGTGAGATCCCTTTCCTCTCTTAAATGAAAGGCAGGCTTTGAGGATTTTTTGGCAAGTGAAGAGCTCTGTAGTCACCCAGTACTAGGACTTGGATGTGGTTCTTATTCATTTCTGGAATGGTATGTAAGTTGACATGTCATTGAGCACATCCCAGCATCAGTAAGGGAGGCAAAATGAAGTTCTGCTAATTGTCTGTAAGGGTCTATCTCTGCCTGGTTTGTGAACAGAATTTACACTTATGTGTGATTCAGCTGAAACACTATCTGAGACCACTCTGCCTTGTTAGTACTCACAGGTGCTAAAATTTGAAGTTTTTGATTGCTAGTTTTACCAAGAACCAAGGATAAGTTCTGAGGGAAGCTGTTTTGCCTTACCTGGTTGTATTTCTTCATGTTTTCCTTAGAGCCATAGTCATAGGCTTGAAACTGGTCTGTATGTACTAGCTGTTAAAAGAACAGACAAAATAAGAGAGATGAAAGGTGAAGGAGTAGAGTGCTGGCAGCGTACTCCTTGTCTGTGGGTTAAGTCAAGGCTCAGGTAGTGGACTGTAGTTACTCCCACACCTTCCTCTGGTTGCAGGCTTCCAGGGTGCTGAGGACAGATCACAGGGTAAGTGGCATCCTTGTCTTTTTTCTTGCTAACTTTCTGTCCTTATCTTCTACCCTCAGTATTTTTTTTTTACTTAAAAGTTTGTTTTGCTACCTTACCTTATGTAACTAAAGTTGAGGTCCCTGATTGTCATGCAGAGATGGGTTCAGCTGTCACATGGAAAGAGAACTGAATGTCTATAATGTGTCAGGGCTACTACAAGTCTTGTGTAATGTGCCTTGCAGGACTGGTAAGTGAATACCTGGACTTATTTGTTTGTTTTGGTAATTTAATTTTTTGAACAAACATGACAAGTAATTTCACTTGTGAGTGGTGTGTAAAAAAGGGTGAGAGAAACCCAGTGTCTGTTGATTTAGAAAACATTTTCTTCCAGGATTTAAGTAGCTGGGTATGGGCTAAAAATCTGTCTGGTGCATTGTCTTTGCTGTTCTGTCTTCCTGTATCTGTGTTTGCTTTGCATCCACTTGATTTTTTTAGAGGCTGGCAAAACAGACCTTAGAGTAACTGGCTGCTCATGGTTTGTGTCCATTTCCTGGCCAGTTGTATCCTGTGGGATTGACTGCTGGGAATCTTTGTCTTCAGGAGCACATCCATATTCTAGACCATATTAAACTTGCAGGTGCTCGTGGTGGTAGGTGAGAAGGTATGGTGGTCAGTTTCCCAAATCCAAAGCCCCTGGATTTCCCTGTAGGCTGTCAGTTGCATAAAAAGCAGTAGTAAGAGATAGTTTACATGTCAGTGCACAGTTATACCTGTTGCCAATGAAGAATGTTCTGTACTGATGTTCCAGCTGGGGAATGTCCTACATACGTATCTATTCGACTCTGGAGAGAAAGCAGAAATTTTATAAAGACAGAGATCCAGTGCTGTGACAGAATAAATCTGTGAAGAAAGTAAGTTTCTAATATTAAAGAAGTCAGCTTACAAAACATTTTTTATAGTTCTGTTAAGGAGATGTTCCAATTCCATCTCCCTGGACTCTTCCTCAGCTATGTTACCTTGCTCTGAGAACCACATTAGGGACTTAAGAAAGGCAGGAAATGCCTTTAGTGGTTTAGCTCTGCAACTCAAAACTGCAAGTGGTTTTGAATTGAGTCTATTTGCTATTGCATTTGAGTCTAACTGCTTTCCCATATGTGCTTTTAACAAAGATTATAGATGAAAAAATGGGCCCAGCTGTTACGCACACTGCAGTAACAAACATTATACAGGCCAGCTTCTGCATACTTTGGCCACTGTAAAGGGGATTGGCACCACAGCATCCATATATTGGCAAGCAGAGGAAAAACTCTGCTGTCTCTCCCGTCTGCTCTGACTGATGCACAGTTGTTTGTGAATCTGACTGTAGGTGGCACAGTGGAAGCTGTAGCTCTACACCCTGTGGACTGAGCTGTTGGGCCCAGTTCTAAGGTCAACAAAACCAGGAAAATGCCCCTTACAGTAGCTCTTTGTGACCAAGTTTTGGTGCAAACAGTCTGAAAATTGGGAAGAAGAGATGTTTCTTCTGCCTTTTAGCTCTTCCAGTGTTCAGAGGACCCCAGTGTCTATATGCTGAGGAAGGAAACTGACAACTGTATTGCCAAGAAGTCTGACTCCATCACTCATTGTCTCTTTTTAAAAACATCTGTGTGTGACAAAAATGCGGTTGGCTTAGCCCCAAAAGAGGGTGCATCCTGACATAAGCAATATAGCTCCAGCTTGAACTCGGTTCATTCTTTCTGGCATTGTAATTTGCCTAGCTGTTGCCCCCACCCATCACTAGGCCTGTGTTGCTGCTGTTGACAGTACACAATGTCCTGGCATTCCCTCAGTCTGCTGAGAACTACACTGTGGTTTTTGTACATTTACATGCATGATGGTAACTAGATAGGGATATAGCGCACAAGTGCAACTGCCAAAATTCCTTTAGTTTTGCTCTGAGTAGGTGTTCTTGCATATACTTACCGTGTTGATATTTTTTATACTGCCTCCAGCTATGTAACAGAGAACATGGGCACAAAACTTATCCAGGCTTGTACAGAGCTGTGTCACGGGTCCTTTCAGAAATTCAATCTGGTGCATAGCTCCTTTGCAGCCAAGTATTAACTGAGGGAAAGGAAAAGTGCAACATTTTTTTTTTTCTAGTTACAGAAGAATTTTATGCAGAAAATGGTTCCTAATAGCTTAGCCTTCATAAGGCAGCATTCAAGTAGTGCTGGAAGAGCTTACCCTCACAGTACCCCTTAAAACACTCTCGTCCCCACAGCGCATCATTTATTCTTCCTCCTTCATATTATTATTAGCAGTCCTAGAGGAAGCTAACATTTCTAGTGTGCTGACTTTAATGCCTACTCATTTTTAAAGTCCTAGAAATTGTCATGTCTGTTATTGCAGTTCTGGTTTAACTCCTCCTGCATGAGACCAGCAACATTTTAGATAAGCAGCAGGAATACTAAAACAGGACAGAGTTTCACAAGTCTCCTACTTCATTGGGGCTACTGCTATGAGCTCTATATCCTAACTATTTTCACCACAGGGTTTGGGGAACAGTTTTTTTGAGAGCACTCAATTCATCCAAAGATGAATTGTCTTGTGTGACAAGATCTCAGTGTCAGCATGTCACTTGTTTGTGAACATTTGACCTCAGGCTGAGGGAGCCCCATGAAGATCAGACAGGCACTGGACCTCTTAGAAGGGAAAAGTGACATACCCTGAGCAGTGGTTCAGGAAGATTTGTAATCTTAACCAGAGGGCTTGTAGCATGTGAACACACAGTTACTGGGCCCAGAGCAAAGAAGATTTTCACCCGTTTAGCCAGCTCAGGGTATGTATAAAATGCTATGAAGCCTGCAAACACAGAAGAGACAGCCTGAGTTAGTGAAGATACCCTCCACAGACTAATTAAATACATAAACAGCAGATAGCAAATAAGACATCATAGTAGGTTGGCAGCTCATTGTCTGTTGTTCATGTTTGTGGTTCATGTTTTACTCAAGGAAAGTGCTGAAGCAAAGTCCTGAAACTAATTTTATTTGGGAGGCAAAGTTCATTTTAAGGTTTAAAGCATGTATGGGCATTGTCTTTATCAGAACTGTTTTTGTAGGCAATATGTCAGTGAGGTTTTGAAGATAACATGAATTCCCTCTAAAGTTTATGAAACTCTCACAAAAAAAGAGTTTTTCAAATTAGAGTCTCTAAAGATCTATGCATGTTTATGCTTTCATGAAACTATCAAATAATTAGCTGAATACTAGGAGCTTTGAGTGTTTTCACCTGATTGCTTGCATCACAGGCAGATAAGAAAACCTAGATGCTTGGTTTGTTTTGCCATGAGGGTCCTTAAATACTCTTATGAGAAGCAAAGAAAGAAAAGGTCAGAATTTGTGTCAATATATGATTTTCCCACACTTTCTTCTCTTTTTTTTCTGGGTTGTTAACACTAATAACTGGCATTGGCTCCTTCCTAATCATTGTCTTGGATCATGTTCATGATCCAAGACAATGATTATTGTTCATGGATCTTACACATAAACCATAACCATCAAGAACTTTCTACTCAGGCTAAAAGAAAGTTAGCTGCATTTAGAGGCCATGAAAAGAATAATGACAAATGCTGAACCTAAGAGAAAATAAACTATTAATGGTTTTGCTTTCCTGATTTTTTGTCTCTGGCACTATGTTTTTAAACAGAAATGTGGCCAGTTATATCCATTCATGGACCACAACTTAAATTGTAAGATTGACACCAAGTCACAACTTAGTAATGTTGAGGTTATTTTTCCTTGCCTTCAAGCAATTTAATTTAAATAAATTTATTAATTCAAATTAGGTATTATATGGGCTTTTTGATCTTTTTAGTTTTTCCATCCTGTTCACAAGAACAGGGTCTCCAGGGCAGTGGTCACAGCACCAATTCTGTTTGAAAAATACTCTCAGGCACATGGTGTGAACACTGGAGATGGTCTGAGCAGGTCCAGAAGCTGGACTTCAATGATCCTATGTCCCTTCCAGCTCAGGATATTCTGACTCTATGATTCTAATTGTCTGTCTTAATACAAAAGAACTTCATGTAAATTCCTGTTGCTGAGAAAAATACCCCATAGCAGTACCAGAATTACCCAGTAAATGACCCTTAATTAGTCTGTAATTATTTAAAAAGTTGAACTATCTCTGCATCTTCTATTAAGTTTATTTGCTTCTTAAGGGTAACCAAACCTGATTTTAGAAATGTTTTGCATATTTTCCAAATCTCAACTCAGAAAAATATCTGTGTTTTCCTAGCTCTCTACAAACATGAAAAACAACAGAATCAGTGGGGAGGGTCACCTACTGATCAAATAGCACAAATGGTTGTTAATAATTCTCCTGACATTACCTACAGTTGACCCTTCAGAGTGACCAATATAGTAAACATCCTTCTGTCCAGTTTTATTCATGATGAAGTTCAGTTCTGCAGGAATATCGTATTTACCTATTTCATCGAAGCTGTGGGGAGAAACACAAAAAGCTGGCAGACAATTTGTCTGTCATGGTGTGAGTTACTGACTGTCAGTTTTGTTCATTGCACCAAGCAGGACCCCCAGAAGGAGGAGGTTGCACACTGAGTCTGCATCCTTGCTTGAGCTGGGGAGGTGGGCAGAGGAGTGCAGCTGTGCAGCCTGGCTGCCTGATGCTTTGGGCTCTGTGTGGATGAAGTGCCAGTTTCACCTGACAGCTGCAGCCCTTGGGGAACTGGATTTAATCAGTGCTTTCAACTGCGTGGGTTACAAAGTACATTTATCTCTTGGTTGGATTGAACTGTGAGAGATCAGATTTCTAGACAAGGCTGCCCAGCATGTTCCAGCTGAGGTTCTTGCTCTCCCTCTCATAGTATGGTCTCCCTTTTCCTTACCATCCTGTTTCATTTCCCAGTCTTTAAAATCTCTTCCTCAGCCAATGCTCACAACTCTGAGTAGTAGTGAGCATCCATCCATCTTTGTCTGGTTCTTTACCCTCCTGGGTTGCTGTAGATCCTGATCTGATGCTGGTTTAGGTGAAAGCCATCAGACTGAAGCTATCTAGTCCCCTTGGAGTTTCTGTGTTGAGTCTTTCTCTCTCTACTGAGTACCTGAACTGCCAGAACTCCTTCTGAGAGGGTTTAAGGGTCTTGTGTTTTAAAGACCAGGTGTTCCCTCTGCTGTTTCCCAACCAGACGTCATAGCCGGCATCTGCGAGCACAAAGCCCAAGCTGTTGTTGGGCAGGTTGGAAATCCAGTGAGTAGCATCTCCTAGGAAAGCATGCTGCAGGAACACTGCAGGCCTTTGCCCTGAAAAAGATTAAAAAATTATTTCCTTGGAACAGCAATTAATGTGCATTTAATATTGGAGTGCAGAGTTCAATTTTTGAGAGGTTCCCTTCTAGAAGCTCCCAGGAGAACTATACATAGGTATTGATTTGAGAAACCTGAAGGATTTTCTCCTGTGCAAGCAGCAACCATTTAATGACATTTCATAACCATTTTATGACAGGTCTGGCAAATAAAGGATTTACTGAGGATTCCTGTTCTACCTCCTCTTGCACTGAAAAGCCAGCTTACAGCCCCTATTCTGAAGCCATCTACCCAAAGCTGAAAACTGCTGAAGGCAGAACAGTGTATGGAAGAGAAGGAAAAAAGAGTCCAGAGAATGAAATCCACGCTTCAGTAACCACTGAGCAGGGCTGAGAGACCCCTGATCTAACCTGGCTAGCCTTACTTTGAGAGTCAGGCTGGTCCAAATGATCTCCAAAGGAGATCCACTTAGGGGAAGGCATCCAAAGAAATCATTCTATTATACTAACAAGGACTAATAATTAAAGCAGCAGTACTCAGCGTACCTCAAATTCCAGCTTGAAATTTTTATGCAGTTCAGCAAATGTGATGAAACCAATGAAATGTATTTACTTTTCACTGACAACCTGATTTCTTTCCTTCTTCCTTGAGAATATCTCTGTCCTTCAGAAACCAGGGAATTAACTCATATGCCTAATGTATATTGTTTAGATTGTTAAGTCAAAACCTCCTCAAATCCTGTTTATCAGCCTACCTGCCAGACCATTTGAGGGGAAAAAACCTTCAGCCCTTGGATGTAACAAAATTATTAGAAAAGTCTGAAATAAGGACAGAGACACTGAATGTGTGGAGTTCAGATAGATTCAATATGCGAGTCACACTTCTGACCAGGTGCTCTTGTGGACATGGAAAGGTATGGAACATGCCATTGCAGGTGAAAAGGGGAAAGATGGGAAATCTGTGTAGGAGTTTGCTCTCAGAGCTTCCTTGTGTGCTGTAACTGTGTCACACCTGAACTTCGGTCATTCCTCCCAGCAGGAATTCTGTAAAGAGCAAGAATGTATCCATCCTCTGTTGTAACTTCATATTCCTCGCTGGGAAATCCATGATATCTGATAATTTCACTCTGTGGAAAGCCAAAGGAGAGTTAATGTGCCAGTTGTCCTATTCTGGAGCCTAACCAAGATGAGCAGTGCAGGTGTGGGATGTGCTGTGGGTAGTGCAAGGCCCTGGCCACAGGGACCATGGCTGACAATAAACATTTCAGGTCTTATGAAAAGATGAAGCAAAGTCCTCCTCAGATCTGTTTAGATGGTGGTTGTCTGGTATTTAGGCCCCTATTATGGGACAAAGCAGAACTGTACTGAGTGACTAACAGCCTTCTGAGAGATAGTTTGTCATGTTATGCAAGGCTAGTACAGATTGTACCTTTCTACAGATGAAATATGCAGCTGTATCTGTATAAGACAATGTCAATAGCTGTGGGGATGGTCTGTGATGAATCCTTGCCAAAATGTGGTTAGGCAAGCCATGCAGGCAAAGCAAACAAGGGTGGAGATCTTGTCAAAGGAACTGATGGGACCACCTACACCTAATTTTGCACCTACTCTGAGGAAACCTTTGGTGACTCAGGGCAAAGCATCTTTGATTAGTTTGCATTGTGGGAATCTGAAGAAGGGGTTCAACCTCCCTTACCACTGCTCTGAGCAAACAGTTTGTCACGGAAGAGCAGGCCTTTGCTTCACCTGATATTAAAAACCAGCCTTTGCTTCCACTGCAAAGGAATTCTTCTCTGTGGCAGCCAGACTGGATGGGAGAATCAAAGTTTCTTCCAGGATAGTGCTGGAAGGTTCTTTGTTCTCTTGCCAGGTTTGCACTCCTCCCCTTATACAGCGGCCTGTAATACCGACATGTGCTGGGAAAGCTGACTGCAAACAGTATCATGAGCTGTGACACAGCTCCACATTTATCCATAAGTGAAGTGAATCCATGAAGCCCATATATCTGTTGGGCTTCACCATAAATGCAGGCAGCAAAGTTTGTTGTTCAGTTTGGTATGGACTGCAGCATGTAGTCTGTGCTCTTTCCACAGTCCAGTGCTGAGTCTGGCCACTGGGATCCAAATTACGTAGTCTGGGTCTCCAGGGCCCCTCAGGAGGTTCTGGGGAGTTTCCTAGCCTTGGAAGCAAAGGTAGCATTCAGCAGTCCCCACAGCAATGTGCAAGAGGCACATCAGTCCCTGGCACATTCAGAGCCAGCCCTCATCATAGGAGGGACCCCATGGCAGTGGTTCTGGAAACAGCAGGCTGGGAAAACAGGAGATGCAGAAGGGGCCCTTAGCTTTCCTGACAAGGACTGTCGGCTATGCAACTGGAAGAGAAGCTTCAGAAGGGGAGAGAAGGTGACCCAACTCACAACATTCATGAAGCATTCGGGGTTGCGACTCTTCTTGCAGCGGTTTGTGTCAGCACCTGCAGTGGGAACTGCCGTGAATCCTGCTGAAAAGGCAATTCCTTGGGAGCAGAGCAGCACGAGGAGGCACCACATCTTGGGGCTGTGTGGAAGAGAACGTGCAGGGGTGTTTGTGTTAGGAAGAGGGTGGAATTCCCAGGAAGACCCAAGAAGAGAATGTCCTGAAGGTTGCCCAAGAGTTGTTCCCCAAGGGCTGCCAGAATAAGAACCTGTGTGAGGACAGGCTGTCTACAGCTCACCCTGTTTAACAGGTAGGGTTGAAGAACAGGAGAGGAAAGCAACTGCGGATACCATGCAAGAATATGCCTGAGCACTCTGCAGGTTGCAGGGGAACTGGGATTGGTACACAGGGCCAGCTCTTGGCACAAGCCTAGCAGAAGCTTGGCAAAGAAGTGTGAGCACTTGAGATGACCATCACCTAACTTGTCTGCCTTTATCTGTCTCTACCCTTCTGCCAGCAGGAGAGGTGGAGGGAGAAGAAAGCACTGTTTGTTTCCTGTCTCCTCCAGAATGAGGTGAAAGAGGTTCAGGATGGGCTCTCTTTAAACCTCCCTTCTCTTCCTCTGGGACTGAATTCTACTCTTGTGTCTGCCAGTGGTGTGCTGGGGTGAGGGACCACATAATGAGGCTCATGGAGGGGCCAGGAGTAATTCAGCCACTCTGTGAGGAGATTTAATGGATGTTGGGCAACATGCTTGTGCGTTCAGTGCTTTCCTCAAAGGATGATGTGCCCCAGAACATGATCAAGTTCTGTTTGAAATCAGCTCCTCTGACAATATGGAGCAAACAAGGTGACCATGCATGACTCCCCAAAATCCCCATGAGTCATTTCCTAGTTAGTCTTACCTTTTGGCCACCAGGTGATCAGCCATGAGGAGTGAGCAATAGATCCTGAGACTGCCTTTGTGCTGCCAAGGGCCTGTCTCCATTACCTCTTAGAAATGGTTGTCCATAGTGCAAATCATGTATTGGTCATGGGGAAGTGAGACCTTGACCTTTCCTGGGATGATGCATGGCTCCAGATTAGCATTTCTGAACAGAAATTGCAGAGTGCAGTTGATCTAGTACAAGTTTATGCCCGGTCCATGTAAAATAGATATGCTTCCAGGTTTTAGTCTTTATTTTCTAGAACCCAGGTTAGTGAGTGCAAGAACACTGCTTTCTTTGAGATTCCCAGGCTTTTTTTTCAACAAGATAATTTTGACACAAACATCCCTTAGAAAAGAGAAGAACAGATTCTGTGACCCAGATAGTTACTGAGTCTGGGATTAAAGGTTAAAACTGTGTGGAGAGCAAGTGCTCACAAATTCAGTGCTCCTTACTTCTTCTTTCTGAAGAACTGCACAAAAAGACTGATCCATGAAGCTCAGTATGTGGATACTAAATGCAAAAGCAAGCAGGGAACAGAGTCTGTGTGAAACTAAGTCACATAGGCTTCTCACTCTGGCCTAGGAAAGCATAAGAAGGAATCCAAACAGTCCTTGGTAAAGGACAATGATCTGCAGGTGTTGTTTAGTCAAGGGGTGGTGTTCCACTTAACCAATGATGGTGATGTGTACCTTTAATTACTAATGAGAGTTTTGAGACCTTCTCAAACATGTGTATAAAAGAAGATTAAGAGTAATAAATTTTGCTCTCTTGGACAATGCAGCTAAGGGAGTCATGTCGTACTGCTTCGCTGTTCCTAATATAGTGTGACATTAGTACTGCACTTACATATTCAGGAAAAGACACATCATACATCATACAACAAATTTTTGTTTTATGCTGTGCTTTAATGTGTGAGGAGAGAATGATGCCTGTGAAGAGTAGTCATTCTGCATGTGTATAAAGACCATAATGATCAGGCAGGAGACCTGAACGTTTGACAGTAGAATCCGTGGGATTTAATGCAGTGTAAGGCTTCAGCTCATCACAGCCACTTGTAATCTTGTAAGATTGCCTCACTTGTAATGGCTGGGAACACCACTGCTCTTGCAGGCTGGGCTTCCTCAGAGCAAGAGGATACATTTCTATGACTGTGATGTGTTTGTGTTAGCTCACCCTCTGTTCATCCTGTAACTGACTTTTGATGTGTTAAATATCTGCCAAGTCCAGCATTGAAACACAAGCCTCTACAGTGACGGGGGTCACAGCAGCTCCTGAGGACTGTTTGTCAGGGAAGGACTGCTCCAGAGGGTTCAGCCTTGCTGGAGGGAAGGCAAAGACAGCTGGTGTTATGTTCAGCAGCAGCCAGCGAGAGTGAGATTGTCAGCATTTCAGAGTCCATGTAGCTTTGCAGTAGCCAAAGCATACAGGGTTTGTGAGTGAATTTCATAGCAGACCTGCCTGTCTTACAGTTTTTGTTAGAAGTTAAGGAGACTCAGGAGACAGGTCTTTTGGGAACCAGCCATGAGGCATGGAGAATGCAATTTTTAATGATGAACAGAAGTTCTCATGTAGCCACATGTTTCTTGAGCCTGCTTCTAGCATATCTGCTATGATGAGATAGGGTACTCTGTGAAGTTTATTTGTACTCAAGAATGTTCAATATGAAGATCAGGAGAAAATAAGAAAGTATTCCCCATCAAGTAGTGGGGAAGAAGAACAGAATTTGTAGGATGAGAGAGAGGTAAACAAAGAAAATATGTTTTGACTTTTAGTGATCTTCAATTTGACCTTTAAATTTGACTGAACAAATTCAAAGAAGTCAAACTTCATGAGTCATCAAACATTTGAAATGAAGCAGCATTTGGAAACACCCAAAACTTTAAATATGGCATCAAAACACACTTAATTAGATTCCTCTTGTTTATCAAATATTTCTTATTTTTTTTGTCAGAACAGGAAGCCTCACAACTACTGTTGTTCTCAGGCAGTACAACACTGTTTTGCTTTCTGCTGTTTTACTCTGCTCTAGTGGGAGTAAAATAAGCTTGCCTCTCCCTGTTCTGGGAATCTCAATTTGGCAAGAAGAGATTCTGCTAATATCTCAACTTGTTTTCAAATCACTACCAGGATTAGTTGAGGCAACGTAGAAGCTTTCATCAATGCACGTTGTGATCACCTGGCTTAGCTGACATGTTTTATGGACTTCCAGGTATTCACCTTTTACTCAGATGCAGGGGGCCAAGTAGCATCAATCTTGGCAGGCCACTGCTCTCTTAAATTCTAGGAATAAAGACAGGAGATGAAGCTGTTTTCCTCTAGTGAGATGAAGTCATAAGAAACAACTGAGCCTGGTAAACTATCATAAAATAATATGCTTAGATGGAAAAAAGATCAGAGAGAGAAATGCCCTTGAAAGTTCCTCTACACACTTTTACAATTTAGTGAAGCTAAGAAGCAAGTCATTCCAAAATTTGTCCCTCTATCCCTGTGCATTAAGCAGTCTAAAACTTACTTCATAGAAGCATAAGGCATATGCACACCAACCAGAAGAGCAACTGTGACTAAACACGCATGAGAATTTGCTGCCTTACTAAGAGAACATACTCGTGCATTATACGGAAGGAACAGGAGGTCCACATTGTTGCAATACTTGCATATTCATTCCCTTGTTCTCAGAGGGAAGAAAACAAGTAGGAAAAAATTAAATTGTTGCTCTTTTCCCTTTTGTGCAGATCAAACTTCTAGTTTAAGCAGAGAAGCACTTCTGTGCACAGCAATAGGCTTACAGATGAGAGAGGAAAAACACTTTATTATAAATATTGCTTATTTTTACAACCAGCTGCACAAAAGCAAGGCAGCACATCTTTAAGACAGAAAACAGAGAAAGAGACCATAAGCATGTATGTACAAGCAACTTACCTCTGCTTTGACTGCCTTGCTTCTGTCTTCTGCCACGGTCGCTGGTCCGTCTCCGCCAGCAGACTGATTCACTGGCAGAAACCTACGCGGATAAAAGGAAGTCAAAACAAAATGAGCACTTCAGGGAAGCAGCTGTGTAGGCAGCACGTATTGCAGAGCATGTTTAAGTACTGATTTAGCAGTGTTTCAGAAGTGGGGAAATATTTGTGATGAAAAAGATGATCTGGTTTAATTCACCATCCCAAAATGCCCCATGGGGCAGGAGAGTGTAGAGAGTACCTATAAATCAGTGGTTAGTATGTTTAGCTGGGACCTGGGTGTTGCAGTTCTCTGGGGCTGTGGCAGACCTTGATCTGTACTGTTGCCCAACTGAGGGGCTGCTTCAAATGTAATCTTTTAAGATGAAAGGGAGGAAGTGTCCAGCTTTTCTCAACATAGTGTCTCAAGAATGCTGTCTCTGCTATTGCTTTTCATGAGGTTTATGTTAACTTTAACACTGCAGACTGACCTAAATCTGTTTTCCAGTGAGCAGCACAACTCATGAAACCCACTTTATTTTGTATTAATCACACTTCAGTGCCAAAGAAGGCTTGATCACTACATGTAACCTTTTTCCCAGTGAGGGAACAAGCAAGGGTTCTTGTTTATCCTAAGCCATTTTCGTCACCTCTGAAAACACAGTATCTGGAGATCTTTGCTTAACAGCTGAATTAGCTGTAGTCAGCCTAAGGGCTCAGTCCTCACTGAGATTGGCTTGATGAACATGAGCAGAAGGACATGCTCTGTGTCCTTGGGCAGCTGGGCTATAAACTAAGTAGAATCCTCATACGTGAGGATCAGCCTGTTCAGCCAATTAACTCACAAGTGTCTTCAGAAGAAGTTGAGTTTCATCATGGACTGAAGGGCGTTTAGAAGAACACCAGATAAGAAGGATGTATTCTTGGGAACACTATTGCAAATAGTATGATGCCTTTGACTAGAGGGGGAAGGAAAGGTTTAGTGAAACTGCTGTTTCATCATGAATGGTTGTGGGTGACGCCACAGTAACAGTTCTGCTTTACCTACAAAGTAGAGAATGTCTACATCATTTGGGATAGTGGGAAAAGTAGTTCAATAATTTTTCAGTGAAAAACATTATAACTTGACTTCTCTGATATCTGTAAGTGACAATAACTATCATCAAACTGTAAATTGATCACTCAGAAGGACTTCTGCAACATGCCACATCCCTTCCAAGGTGGAATAGATTGTTCCCATGATCTGTCCAATGCTGTTTGCTCAATCTGCTTTTCCTGATTTTCCAGAAAATTCAAATCTCTGCCTCCTCTATGGCATCCTAGGTTGCAAGATAGCTGCACAATTGCAATCTCTTTTCTAGGTGACTTTATGGAATGCTCTGCCTACTCTCAGGTATGATGCTGTTGCATTTAGCATGGAAAGCATTGAAAACTTATAAAGTAAGTCTCATGTCCTCATACATTTTCCCTACAAGCAGCAAGTTAGTTTAAAGATTGACTGTCTGAAGGGTATTTGTCTCCAGGAATTTGTATTTGATGGAAAGAATGTCCTTTTCTGGAGGGGAACTGTTTTGTTTGGATCAAATTCTAGCTACATTTGTGAAACAGAAGGAAACAGGACAGCCTTCAGCAGTGGGCCCAGGAGATGAGAAAGGCCTGCTGTTTCTCTTGGAAGGGAAAGGTGCAGAAGTGGTAACAGCCATGGTTAATTTGTTTGGCTAATTTACCATTACTCAGAGTGAGACACTGGCCCTTTGGTCATACAGTGTCACCAGTGAACTGTCCCAGTGCAACAGCTGCACTGTGCTGGCTCGTGTCCCAGACTTGGCCCACAGTCACATTTCATTGAAAAAGGGAATGAGGGTGTCAGGCTGAAAGGAAACCCCTAAATGCACTGTGTTTCTTTTCACAGTGAAGCTAATGGCACACCTTGTTTTGGGGGAATGGTGACCTATAATGCTGCAAACTAATAACCACAGAGGTTACCCATCAGCTGAGTGGTTTTGTGCAGTAACTACCTATTTGAAATAAGGTTGGTAGAGTCATAATTACCCCAGGAAATTAATCCAATGAATAATTCTTTAGCATCTTGTGTGTCTTGAAAGCAGCTCTTTCCAGTAGTGGTCAAAGTGTTCCAAATTTACATGGGATGAAGATAATGGATTCTTTCTAGCAAGGTTTGGGTACTTTTCACTTTAGTGTTTAAACTCCAAAGAGGCTGCTCAGTGCCTTGACAAAGGTTAGATGATCTCAGCTCTGTGATAGCCAGTAGCTTACATTTGAAACAGCAGGAGGTGTGAGGTTTCTACTGGGTTCAGGGTGTAACTTTGGAATAAATGGTCCCATGGAAGTGCTGCCATTGCCAAAATGATTAAGATTGAATCAGCCAGGATTTCTCTTTCTCAGGGTAGGTTTTGAAGCCAAATTTCCCAGCTTCCAGGTGCATGCTTGAACCATGATACTGGTTACTGTTTTCTGTTGGGCCTACCCTGTGTCCCTTGCTCTTCCTCATGAAAACAGGGAGCATTCCTGTTTCAAACAAAGACAAACCTTCTTTTCAGGAGTGAGGTTTTTTTTTTGTATTAACTCATTTTCTTATTTAATAATCTCGTTTAATAATAAAATTATACAATACCACAATTGTTAGAATAAGATTTTGATTACACTATGCCTTTAAATAACTGCCAGCCCAATTAACTGAGCAATAATATGAAGAATGGAAAATATCTATGGAGCACAGAATGCATCCAGAGAAAGGAAGTGCTTTCATTACGGTTATAGTCTAGAGAAGAGAGTAGGCTGGAAGCAAACCCTGTCCTTTGTTTGCAAAATATAGTAATTGCAGAATTGAAGATGTATCAATTGGAAAAGTATTAGAGCTCCACAAGGTTGACAGAAAACATGAAGTGCACTGTCAGGATGCAAGAGGCATTGGAGTGACATGTAGTGTGCAGGAGGAACCCTTTCCCTGACTCCAGGTGCAACAGAAGGGGGTTTTTGTACCCAGTGAATCTAAGTGCCATTGAATGGGTCAGGTAAGGCATCTGGGTTAAGGATACTTCTGCATCAGGTCAATAATTTCATTGTACACATGCAAAGGTGCATCCAATCCCCAGATGAAATCCAGGTGTGCCCATTCAGGAATCTTCTTGTGATAGATAAGCTTCTTAATTTTAGACAATAAAATGGCTGCATCCTTGGGATCTGCAAGCAGGTCTTGTCCCCCAGTCCACACAGCAGTTGGTACATTCATCTCTTCTATGTTGTAGAGAGGAGGAATAGTCTGGAAGACAGTACAGGAATGAATGTCCAGGAGAGCACAGCAACTTTAAACATTCATTTGGGGCTTTCTTCTGTCACTGCTCAAAGTAGAGGTGTCTAAACCAAAGAGGAAGGAAGTTCCCCTGTTTGTCTTTTCTGTCTGTGCTCACAGGGATTACTCAACTGATAGCACAGTCAAGAGTAAAGCACCTCCAGGGTTGACAAAGAGTTATTGTGGGTCTCTGCCCTCTCAAGTGGCAATCTTAGGGCAGGAGCCTGAAACTAGACAGAGATGTCAGGATGCCTCTGGATAAACCCCCATCATGGTCCTTTTGAAGCACTGGTCAGTCCCAGAAGACATGGGCTAGAGAGAAAACACAACATGTGACAAGGACGAAAAGGCTTCTGTAGGAGGAGAGGGAAAGCAGCTTAGGACTCCTAGGTCGGGGAAAGAGATGTCAGAGCAAGGACAGGAGACAGGTTTATACAACCACAAATGGTATGAAGAAAGAGCACTGGAAGTAATAGTCCCAAACACAAAACCTAGAAGGCATCCTGTGACTTTCCAGGAGCAACCAAATTCAAGGCAAACCAAAGGAAGCTGCATTTCATGCAAGTCATCATTAAAACATGTAACCCATCATGACAGGCTGTTGTGGAGACCTAAAGCGTAGGAGGGTCAGGGATGGGATTGAGTCTTACATGGAAAAGATGTTCCTCAGGGTCTGCTTGAGGACAAACTCCTTCTGTGTCTGGCTGCCAAAATCTAGGAGTGGCTGTTAGTTTTCCAGTTTTTCTATTCCTAATATTATCATCTGTTTCAGTTACACTAGTAGGCAAGATGTTTTTGTTATTTTCTGTGTACTCTTCTTTTTCAAAATTAATTTTCTATTTTTTCTGCCCTTACTTCCTCATTCCTATTGAGTATTTAATTGAAAAGTTTTTCTCTTATTCTCTCTCTCTTTTAAAATGTATTCAACTTATTATCGCCGCTAATGCTTGTATGCTTCTTCTGTTGACTTCCAAACTGAAAAGCAATAATATTTTCATTTACTTATGTTCTGAAAATATGTCTCCTACAACATCTTCACTCTCTTTCTGTGTGTTTCTGTGCTGTCCAAGGCTGCTTCACCAAAACATACCTGTTGGTATTTTTCCATGTTCTTCTTTGAACTGCCCCAGTCATAAGCTTGGAACTTCCCTGAGCGGGCCTCCTGACAGGATAAACAAGAGAAGGGTAGTAATAAAGCCATAATTTGGGAAGTTTGTACGTTCTTTCCCTGATGAGCCTCTGACTCCAATCTAAAGCCCCAAGAGAAGTTCTTCTAAGAGCTCTGGAAGAGCCAATAGTAAATTAATTAAAAGGGTCAAAAAGTGAAAAGGAGTCAAATGTTTTTGTCATAATGAAAGAAATTCACATCTTTTGCAGACAGACCCAAGGATGTCCTCACAGGCAATTTGTTCAAGTTTGTAAAACTGCTGTTAACAATTGCTGTCAGCAAGTCCATCTCAGTGCTACTGCCTTGTCCTATTCTTACAGCTGTGTTGCCAACACTCAGCTCTGTGAGTGGCTTCATCTTATGTTTTCTCTTCCCACTCTATTTTGAATATAGAAATTACCATTTTTAGTTCTTCCCCTTGGCTTTACCTGCAGTGTGGGTTGTCACTACTCTGAGAGACGCTCTTACCAGAATCTTAGTATTGAAATTCCGTTAGCTCCTTTAGTTGTAATAACAGTAAGGACAACAAAGGAATATTACTTCTGCATGTTTGTGCTTGCAGTCTGTGGTTAGATGCTGAATTACATCTGAGTCAATTTGCGGAATTCCCCCACTCTGCTTTTGTAACCCTTTTTCTTTACAGGTCCAGGTCATGGTTACAAAAGCGACTTATTCAAACCTTCTGTCTAATGCAAACTCACAGCCAAAAGCAGAATTTTGAGTAAGTGCCTGTGCAGATTTCATTCAAACATATCTGTGTGTTTGCTTTGCTGAAAAGGGCACGAACGCTCCTGCAAACTCCGTGTCCTTGCAGCTGCTTCCTGCACTGCTCCAGAGTCCGTGGTGCTGCCAGG